GATGAGTCTATTTCCTGAAGAGTTACATATGAATTCATGATTAAAGGCATGAGTTGAATATGAGTGTATGTATGCTTGATTATATGAATTGATATGTTTTGTATGTGCTATGTGGTTTATGTACACACACTATTAAGTGTTAATGAGAGAATATCAAATAAGTTATGAAATTATATGAATATAGAAGATAAGTCAAGAGATGTAGGGAAATGGAAATAGAGGTTTATGAAGAATCGTAGGAGAATAAATATAAGTAATAAGATAATGAAATACAAGACTATGTGAAATACATGGTCATGAGAATTAGTAAAAATAGAGTTATTTGATTTAATGAGAATTGAGGAAACTAAATAAGATTGAATTATAGAATGGAATGAGAATAATATATCTATTAGGGAACTTGAATATAAAGCGTTGATATGTATATATATATGATAAATTATATGCTAAAGATCTATGGGGTTATATGAAAAGGTTATAAGAAATGTATGAAATTGAATTAATTAAATGGATTAAAGTAGTATATAAATAAAATATGATTAAGTGTAATATATATGTTTAGAAATACGACATAAGTTATATAATCTAAGGGAATATAGAGAAATAAAGCATAAAGTAGACGAAATGAGATAAGTTATTATATACCTATATGATATACGTTATCAGGTAATATGAAAGGATTCAGGAAACTTATATAAGCTATGTGAAAGTGATCTAGGTGCTTATATGTGAATTATTCGGTAATAAGTTATATGAAATAAGTGTAGTGATTTCCAGATCATAAGAGATAAGTCAGAGAATGTGAATAATATGACCAGAAACTATAAGCCTGTGTGATGAAATGAATATAGGAAGACATGACTATGAGAGATATGTGATAAGAAGTTATGATTAAATGATCAAGAGATATAAGTTAAGGGATATCTGTGAATTACATGAAAATGTGTTATGTGTAAGTGAATTACGTGATTATATGAATATGAAATCATATGAGAATTTACATGAACTACGTGATTACATGTATGTGTGAATGAAGCTACGAGCTTATATGAATATGTGATATGTTTACATGAATATATGCAAGGATATAAAAGATAGTGCTCATGTTATGTGTCTTGAGAGCTAGGGGTATAGTTAGCATGCCAAGAGTCGATGGTCTACGCGGTCTTTCGGGATATGTATATATTCTTTGGAATATGTGTGAAGTATTGTGAGACACATACTTGATCCCTAGTATATGTATATAATTCTTAAGGAATGGTATGTGGTCCTTATGGACATTATTATATGGCACTACGGTGCAATTCTACGCGACACTCTTGTGCAATTCTACGTGGCACTTCGGTGCAATTATACGAGCTGTGGTGACAGCATTAGTGCACAACCTCTATAGACTCACATATCTATGGTTCTCACATGTGTACATGGGCTAATAAAGGAAATAATATAAAAGAACCTTGCATGATAGTATGTGATTGGTTTGTAATCTTTATGGTGTGAAGTGATATGTGATATGATGATGTGAATATAGCTTGGTTAAGAGGAATTGATGCAAGAACATATGACAAAAAGATAAAGAACGAAAATAAGACTAATAAAGAGATAATAATAAATATCTTACATATGATTTACATGTTTTGTGCTATGAAACATGTTATAAGAATATGTGAATAATGTGTGTGTACAAGTGGATAGTGGTTGCATGATAGAATGTATGATTTTGTATGATATAATAAGTATAGATTATGAATGCATTAGTAGTGGCTATATTTTTTTCCTCCATTTCATTTTTATTTTTATTCCTTATCTTTATTTTTTTTATCTTCTTTACATTTGTTTTATTTATTTGTATTTTCTTCTTATTTTTTTATTTACTTATTTATTATGTATATATTATTATCATTCTTTTTTCATTTTATTTTTCTTATCGTGTTCATTTTTATCTTCACTCTTTTTTTATTCCTTTATTTCGGTCGTTTTTTTATTTTCTTTATTCTATTTATTTTCATTTTTTTATTCAAAATATTTTTTGACTCTCTTAAGGGTACACCTTTAAAACTATCTAAGATAAGTAATTGGGATCATATTTTTACCTTTTAATTTTAAATTACAATTTTCTTAATTTAAGACAACTGGAAATTGCGTAGTACCGAAAGGGCAGTTCAAGGGTGCTAACCCTTCTTTGACTGTAACCGACTCCCGAATCCGACAAATCTTTGGAAAGACGCAAATCAGATAAGAAATAGGGTATCCGATCAACCCATTTGTTTTAAAATAAATGATCGGTAGCGACTCCAATTCGTTTAATCCAAGTCGAAGCTCAATTTCGATACCAACCGAAATACGGTTCCAACAAATTCAATAATGGCCGATTGGCAATGGACGCATTTATTGCACTTTTTCTCACAACTTTTAATCACATAAATACAACAAGCTTGGCCACAGTATTTAACCCTTAACAACTAAACTAAACCATCTAATGTATGATTAAATTAATCAACTATTGTTCTACGAGAAAAATGCCAAATTTTGGTTTTGTATTTTTTTATGTAACTTGAATTTTAAAGGTGAAATTATTAGAAAATATGTTCTAAATTTTAAATGTAAATTGTAAAACAGATAGGGAAAAAATAATAATATACCAGCCTGATTAGGTCAATTTCCGATGCTAGATTGGTATAAAATGTTGGGCACGTATGAGTTCCCACGTACGTACATTTTGGCTAGTTTTCACGTAAAGATGATTCATAGCTGATGCTGTATTTCCACAATAATTTTACAAATAGAAGAACGTAATTTCCCACTTTCTTTCTCAGCTGTAATTCATATATGATTTTTATTTTTGTATTAGTCAATGCATTTATATATTTCCAACACATATACACACACATCAAAACATAATTATATCACATTTTTTACGCAAATCATAAACAATAAAAATTATGGATAAAAAGAATAATTTTTAATATATTAAAAGTAGATTATAAAAATTATACTAATTTTGATTGTGACACATTAATTTACACAATTTTTTTCTCATATCATCTCTAAAAACAACAGGTACACATTTATAAGTGTACCAACATAAAAATATATATATCATAGGGTGGGGCTCTGTTCTACTTCTCATTGATGTTAATGGTAAAAATATTCATTCTCGAATTCTTTTATAATTTAAATTTTCATTAAATAAATTATATCATGAATTATTTTAAGCATAAAATTTAAACAATAATTTTTAACAAATATTTAGCTAAACAGTGCTCTTGTGATGATGAGTACAAATATACAGGTACTACTATTTATTGTTCTTTTGTTTGTGCCCAATGTCATGTTGGACTCCATACGAGACGAACTCTTCCACCGTCTTCCGGGGGGCCTCTCTGCCCTGGTCAGTGCTTTAACTGTTTCTGGTGGCCTTTGCCATGACGATTTCATCTATAGTTGATCTAGAAATATTTACTATATATATTAATAATATAATTTTTTATATGAGATAAATGCATATAAAATTTCGGAATAAATATTATTAATGAAAAAAAATTAAATTTCAGGAAAAACATATGTTGTTAAATTACACATATATCTGCGACTGATTTCATCACCCGTTTCAGCTATGAACATGTTTCATATTATTGTCGGCATACCGATATTAGTATTAGGAAGATCATTGTGGGTCATAACAAAAATATTAACTCTCATGTTCTCTTTTTTGCCTTTGGAGGAGAAAAAAAAAAGTTTTACTTTTGTATGCACCGAAGCAAAAGCATGGGATTGGAAGTTGTCATTTTCAGTCTGACATGGGCTCAACTGAAAGGGAGTTTGTATAATAAATAATATCTTTTATTATATTTTTAATAAAACAAATGAACCCTTAATAAGATGGCTTCTTCTTCTTCTTCTTCTGTAGATGGACAATAACATTGTTTCACTTTTATTCCGAAATTATGATTTTTCTTTCGTTATTTTCGTTTCTATGTATCTTTTGGTTTAACCGAATATCGATATTTTGAGTTTCTTAAAATTGTTTTTGATAAATATATTCTTTGATCTCACCTGCGTTGTTTTTAATTTTATTAAAAAATAATTTTACTTTTACCTTTCTTAAGCTAATTCGCTTAAAAATATTTCTTTTTCTTGATAGACAAAAAAACTATAAAACTTGAAGAAAAGAAGAAGAAGAAGAAGAGAAAATAGTTAAAAAATTAAAGAAGTATCGTTATTATTATTTTTATTGTCGATCATGGTTATTGATTTATAAAAATATCAATATTTTTCTTATAAACAAAAATTTAAAAGAGATATTAATCAAACCACCATTGCTGGTAGTAACTATTCTATAACCAACAACTTCAGCAAACTTCTCTTCATATCTTTGTTGGTTTACATTTTTAAAATAAAGTCAAATCCTATGAAACCAAAAATCAATGTTCCTAATCAAACTTCATCATATCCTTTTTGGTGAATATTGAATCGATTTAAAATTTGAGTTATATCGTTACTTATAATCGTCATTGCCATTTGACTGTTAAAATCTTGTAACAAATTTATGTAATATGATATTTCCTGTAAAATGAAAAAGAGGAATCTATTTTATTCTTTTTATCATTTCATCTCCTTTTCATGTGATTTAGATTTATTAGCATGTGTTAATTTTATATTTATTATAAATATATGATATATATCATAAAAATATGAATATATGATATTAGTCCATAAAATTTATTTAGGAGTGATTTTATAGCACTCTATCATGAGTGAAGAAAGATGCAAGTGGAAAGAGATGAAAGTAACAAAATAAATTTGTATGGTGCATGTGTTGGTGACGCAGCCTAAATTGGAGGGTGGTGTAAGTTTGGTCTCATGTCCCTCCACCAACTCCCAAAGAAGAAGATTCTTCCAATGCTCTTTTTTTTATTCGCATTTTACTTCCCCTACTCGGATACATTTCCTCTATAAATTCCCTTACCAATACTATAAAAAAATCCCCTTCTCCTTCTCATCTCTCCCCCCCCCCCATAGAATATAGGCTGTTTCTGCGCTCTTCTCCTCCTCCTTGGACCTAAGGTCCTGCTGGTTCTTTTCATATCCTTTTGGAAGGTATTTGCCCTTCTATCGGGGGCTTTTTGGTTGTTATTCTGGAGTCCATACCAAAAACCCATAAAGTCAACTCTTATTTTATAGCAGAAAAGGGCTTGTTTTTTGGTGATAGATTCTGCCAAAAATAAGTTTTACTTATTCCACTCTGCTGTAAATCTTCATGCTGCATAACTTCTTGTTGTTGCTTGAGACTCATGTCTCCAGTTGTCAGTGAAATCCTCCGATCCGGGTTTATGATAAATTCTTCCCTCAGACGCAGGACCCATCTCGTTCAATCTTTCTCAGTTGTGTTCCTCTATTGGTTCTATGTTTTCTCATAAATAAGCTTTCTTTAATTGCTTGATTTTCACTATTTATATACATATATAACTATCTGTCTATACTGATTAGCTAGTATCGGTGTCCTGCCGCCTCTGAGTTTTTATTATCCTGAAATATTAGTCATCTCTATTGAAGTTTCAGCCTTGTTTTTGGTGTAAGTATATTAATATGGCTTCGTCCAGTGGAAACTCCAATTCCACAAGCTCCTCCCAGATTCACAACTCTGGGTCCGAAGAGAAGTACTTGCATCAGATGAGCATGATGGATCAAAGAAAGAGGAAGAGGAAGGAATCAAACAAGGAATCAGCCAGAAGATCTCGGGTGAGAAAACAGCAGCACTTGGATGATTTGACGGCCCAAGCGACTCAGCTAAGCAAAGACAATAACCAAATTCTCACAAGCATCAACTTCACTAACCACCACTATTTGACCATTGAGGCCGAGAACTCGGTTCTGTGGGCTCAGATGATGGAACTGAGTCAAAGACTCGAGTCTCTGACCCAAATCCTGAGTTATATCAACGTCCCTACCCTGTTGTATGAAACTGATCAGTGCTTTGAAGCAAGTGGCAACCACAGTTTCGACAACCCTTTCAATCTGCCTTATCTTAACCAACCCATCATGGCCTCTCCAGACATCTTTGAATACTACTGATCCATAATAACCTATCATTAATTACTTATAAATGGATGAAAAAATATGGTCAAAATCCAGGGATATCTTTGAATATTATGTTTTCTTCACTTGGCTGGGGTCTTTTGTCTCCTTCCACATCTTGTAATTTATGGTGTCAGCCCCTCATGTTTGTAAATGAGAGTAACTCTTTTGTTCTCTCTATCTCTTCTTTCCTTCCAAAATAACCACTGAATTTGGTCTAAATCGTTAATAAAATTCTTTATATATATTAATCAAACAAAAATAACATTTTAAAGATTTGATTGGGTGCACAATAAAACTACAAAGTTTAACCTGAAAAAGGCACATTTAATACTTTTAACCTTGAATTTGCAACAATCATGAAAATATATTAGAAGTGTTTTTAATTCGTCATTTTTAGTATGTGTTATTAATTATGGGTAAATATACGAATTCGTGTATCAATTTTTTTAACACAATCAAGGTTTTTGAACTAAAACCAATCGTTCAAAGAACGAGGGCTATTAAATATAATAATTATGCATGCCGTAAACCTTTTAAAATAGATGTTTCATGCATCTAAAAATCCAATGTTTTAGGTATTCAAAAAGGGAGGCTTTGTTCCCCAAAATTTAAGGTCCGTGGGCACTGTTTACCAGGCCCGTCTTGTAAATTTTGGTGGCCCTATGCATAACAGTAAAATAGACATTTTAAAATTAAAATATTATTTAATGTGGACCTTGAACTTGAAAATTATTGAGTCAAACATCCTAAATACACATATATACAAAAGACTTAAAAAATTTTAGAGACCCTTACAAAAATTGGGTCCTGTGCGGCTGGGCAGCCCGCACAGGCCCAAAACCGGCCCTGCTGTTCACCAGGCATATCTGAGATTACTATTCAATGAACTGTTAATGGCACAACTGTTCAACACTAATGGTACATTGCTTATGCAATATGATCGTATATCTTAAAAAACAAATTATGACCTAATGATTATTGAGGTCGAACCATTGTTGCTTTTTCATTTTATGTTGCATGAAATGCTAATGGAGTTTACACCCAATTAAACTGGAGGCACCCATAAGACACCCTACAAAGTGGGTGAATTTAGGTACATAAAGTAATTTGTAATGTAGGGCGACATTGCAAAGAGAAAGGAGATGTTCATTTAACTTGGATTAATTCAAATTCGAAATAGTTATTTCAATTCATTATTTTATACTTCAACTGGTTTCTTTTACTTGGATAAATTCAAATCCCAAATAGTTATTTTAATTAAACTGTTCTTTAATCCAAACTCAATTTGGCTTCTCTTAATTGCATGATAGAACAAAAATAAAAATAAAATAAAAAAGCAGAAAGAGAATGGGTGACCATTAATCCATAGGGTCTCCATCTGAAGAAAGGGGGTCATTTTCAATTGCATAAAGAATTCCAAATCAGTAGAGGAAGACAGGTCAGCAAAAAATGATTACTTCAACAATTATCCATTTACATTCATCTATAATTCAGCTTTTTATTTATTTATGACCTAGGATTTATAAGCCCAATCATCTTCCTCTCTTTTCCAAATGTCTTGGTCCATGCCAATATATTAACTTGCTATCTTTAGCCCTCCCTGTTTTATTTTAATTCCCCCCGCAGTTTGCTTTCCTATTTGATTTGCTTATAGATATTCAATCAAAGATAAATGGACATCAATTCATATATTTTCAGCCTTCTCGTTGTTGTTCGATTCCTTTTGCTTTTGATGGTATGGCAAGTAACAATGACAGGCACGGCCAGAAGATGATGTCGGACTAAAATGACATTGCCACCTACACATCTTAAACAAGTGCAAATAATTGAGTCCAAAGAGTAGTAGGTTACAGTTTTAAACACGTAGGAACCATTAGATTGAAAGAAAAATAATAAAAGGACACGATCAGATCAGACATTAAGTTTAAACTAATCAAAAGAGCATCACCATAAATTACAGTAAAATTAATCAGAAAGGATCAGCATTATTGAAAAAGTTAATCGGGTTAGCACTAATATTGCTGTCCAAAACCTAAACAGTGTTCACTTAATCATCATTAACTAAAGAAAAGGAGGGGAATGAAGGCCCACTTGGAGAGGAGACAAGGTGCTTGGATGGATATCCAACACCAGATAAAACTTGTACAAAAGTAGACCCAAGGCAATATTCAACTTAAAACATTCATATCTGCTTGAAAACTTTTACCAACACATGATGGAAATATAGAAAAAAGTTTGAGCTATGAGTTTTTCGTTAATCATATGGAATTTGGACATATGGTTCATCACAATTTGATAAACAAATGGAATGTCAATGTACATACCAGCAAGTGCACATCTTATGCACCCCAAAACAGTAATGAGATCAGAAAAAGGCACAGGTCATCAAAAGTGCATTCCGAACTTACCTCAATAGACTGCAAGTGGCATCCGCTGGCTCGCAGTCCCAGTTACCTGCAAGGTAATCTCCGATAACATTCCCAATGCCACATGAAATTTTAAAAAAAAGTGAGGCCATTCTTCCCTTCTCACCACCCCCAGGTGTAAAATAAAAAGTTATATATATATATATATATATATATGTCATTGGGAAGCAGTTAGGGAGGGCAAACTGGTACAATTTTGTGGATTCCGCACGAGATGGGTATAACTTTAGTGGGTAGTGGGCTGATGTGAATTTAGAAAGTAGTACCCTCGCGGGTAGTGGGTGAGTGATGGGCTTGAGACCTTACCTGTCCTGCATCCGCCCGTCCACATCCTCCCACCCACTAAATACTCATTAAATTTTGGACCATTATGAATTTAGGTATAATTTTAGAGTTTGTCATTTGTGTGCCAAAGAACAAAAATATCATGTGTTTGTCATTTATGTTTCTAGGATTTAATTATGTCTTTTATTATGATATTTTATGTACTTTAAGATCTATATTAACACTTAACTCAGATAATTCTTGGTTTATTTTATTATGTTTCTTAATGGACGTGTTTGTTTTATGTTTGTTGCTTATGTATAACTTAAGGTTGTTGTCAGACGGGTCTAGCAGAATACGTTTCCAGTTGGGTAGTGGGTGTGGAGATGAATTTGAGAATGTATTCGCGTGGGCGAATGTGGATTTGAAAAATGTTATCCATCATGGGTGGTGGATTTAAAAATATTAGGTATGTATGAGGATGAGGGAGGGGTATCCGCACATAACCCGTTCGTTTGCCATCCCTAGAAGCAGCTCAGCAAACTTCCAATGAAGGCAAACCCTGTGAGAAACTCCCTTGATCCACTGGATTTGATGTACCAGAAGTTGGAAGGAAGGCATGTCTACGATGCAAGTCACTCGTCAGGAGATTTAGTCTTTTGATAAGCCCAGGGCCGAAGGGGCGCCCGCCCAGGGCCAACAAATTTTTTTTTTCGTATAATATTTTTCGTATATTTATAATAAATTGAAAAATTGTAAAACAAAATAGGATAATCTATGCATTTAATACCTAAATTATCAGTTTTGATCCATTTTAGTATCTAAACTTTTAATTTTTTCAAAATCATATATAATATTTAGTTTTCATTTCATTTTAGTACCCGCCGTTAAAACTTTAACGCGTTTAGTACCTAACTATTAGTTTTTATTTGTTTTAGTACCTAAAATTTCAAAAATAAAATAAAATAAAACTTAACATTAAATTTTGAATGGATACTAAAATGAAATAAAAAAACTAAAGTTTTTAACAACGGGTACTAAAATGAAACAAAAACTAAATTTTAGGTATGGTTTGAAAGAATTGAAAGTTTAGATACTAAAACAGACCAAAACTGATAGTTTAAGTATTAAATACGTAATTTATTCAATAAAATAATAAGACCCATGAATTTATTAAGGTTCCATTTGTGATTATTGAATTTTATATTCATTTCATTTTAGTACCCGCGTTAAAACTTTAACGCGTTTAGTACCTAACTATTAGTTTTATTTGTTTTAGTACCTAAATTTCAAAAAAAATAAAATAAAACTTAACATTAAATTTGAATGGATACTAAATGAATAAAAAAACTAAAGTTTTTAACAACGGGTACTAAATGAAACAACTAAAATTTTAGGTATGGTTGAAGAATTGAAAGTTTAGATACTAAAACAGACCAAAACTGATAGTTTAAGTATTAAATACGTAATTTATTCAATAAAATAATAAGACCCATGAATTTATTAAGGTTCCATTTGTGATTATTGAATTTTATATTAACGTTAATAGATTGTTCTTCCATAAAATTCTAATTCAATATTTATTTCCCAAAATTTTAAAAAAATCGAATCTCTTTAATTTGAATCTTTCCAAATTCCCACTATCAATTCACCAAAATTCTTTCCCGATTTTTTATATCAATGAAAAAAATTATTAACATTATTTTTTTCTTCAAAACTTAATGAGAGGAAAAAAATTTAAGTATAATTAGCGTACTTCTTTTCTCTTTCATTTTTCACAATTCCTCTGAAAATTATTATTCTTATTTTATAATTTATCATATTTCTCTCATATGTAAGGTCACAATTGTTTATTATCAATTGTGATACTTGAATCATATTGAAGACTATTCTTAAAATTATAGGTAGATCACGTTTTCAAATTCTTTCTTTTAATTTTTATATATTTTCAAATTCTAGATAAGATCATTCTTTCATTTTCAAATGTTATGTTATGTGTTGAGAAAATTTTGTTGGAAAACATTGATGTTGACACTATCATCAATGGTTTTGCATTAAAAACGATTGAATGTACTATTTTTTTATAAGTATTTGTATTCTTAAATTTATTTTTTGACATCTTTTATATTGTAATGAATTATTATTTTTAATTTAATAAAAAAATCTAATAATTTTTTTATATTACATATATTTTTTAATTTTTTATTTTAGGGGCCCATTTTTTATTTTCGTGTTGAACCTATAAATAATCAGGACCGGCCCTGATAAGCCCAATTTTAAAATGATCAACAATTGATTTCATTGTAATATCTGGTATACTAAATCAGGGACGGATCAAGCCTTAAAAAGTCATTTAATGGATCAAATACATTCCATTAGTTTGAGAAAATGATTAAATTTAATATAACATTAAAGGAAATGAAAAAAATAAAAAAAATTACGTACAAATTAATTTTAAAAA